AGCAACTCTTTTCAGGCCCAGTAAAACATGTGAAGCCCTTGAGGTCTCAACTTGCAAGAATTTAAATGTGTACATAGTTATTTTTCTACAGACCCGTTACAATCATATAGGTACGTGTTTGATGACTGACATCTTACTGAAATGTGAAAGATTAATGTGCGTCATTTCATGTAAATATGAAATGCCACTGGTAGAACGTTAAGTATCTTTAATAGTACGGAACACAACACAACAGTTAAAGGCATGAAGTTGATTGCCCATGCAATTAAAAGTTTAGGAGACTAACTATCTGATCTGGAACTCGGCCAAGGCATCGTGACTAACAAGCCTGTTCTTGCGAGAAAGTGCCAGAGGAGCTCTGATAGCCGTGTGTGGTCAAGATTTCTGCTTTGTCTAAATTAAGCCATCTCAAAACGTAACACTGCCATACATAAAATCCCGTGCCAGCATTTGGCAAAGCACTTCTGTTCGAGCATTTGTGCTGGAGAAAGCTGCCTATATACAGCAGCAAGGCAAACAGCTTTGAAAGCATTTATTTTGAATTTCCTAGGAAGCCAAACGCTGCTGAAAAATCCCATTCTGTGATTGTAATTTACCCTCTGTCCATTTACAGAGCTCTCATAAAAGCCAATGGGAGGGACTGGTACCAGGCATATAATATACTGTAAAAACTTTAAAACATCTTATTGTTGGTTGTTAATATGATAGATGTTTTAGAACAGTGACTGTGGGGTGAACTCAGCTTATGTTCTGCTTCCATCTGGCCTGCTACTGTCTCCTCAGGAGATGGAAACCAGCACACGTTGGGTTGTACACATTCTCCTAAGAGAGAAATATTCTCTCTCACCTGCACAGCTGAGCTTTTAGACTCAGTTCTTTTGCCATATGTGTGTAATCCCAGAGTGTGCTCTTGTAACCATCAGGTTTTATCCTGTCACAGCCTGAATTTACTGAATTAAACAAGACCTCTTACATAACTGCAGTTGTATGTTTGTAGGCAAATAGTCTGTGCATCTCCTCTGAAGTTCTTCTTCTCCTGTGAAAGCCCCATCGTAAAGCTCAGGCTTCGGGAGGTAGCTCTGTGCCTTAGAACCTCTGCCAGTCCCTGTTAGGTTTTAGACAGCTACTATGTAAACCAAACAGGGTGGTAAATGGGGCTAAATCAAATACTTAGGTTTATTATGACAGTGAAATAGCTTTGCAAGAGCTCCCTGGCACTGTACTTCTCTGCATGCTCTTCCTGTTTGTGGTGCTGGCTCTGCAGGAGGCCACTTTACCTGTCTCCTAGTATTTTCTGTGAAAGCGTGCAGTGCCCAAGTAACACAAAAACTAGCCCTATAGAAAGGTACTTGGACATGTAAAGACAGTGGTTGAATGAGTAATGTACCTACTTCTTAGATTTTTTTAAATTGTTTTTTTTTACTGTCTTTGGAATTTTAGCTTAGACCTTTCTAATATTTCTGTGTTGTGAGGATTTGTTTATAGAACAGTTAGAGGGAAATCTAAACCCCAGTCTTCGGAATAAACTAAGTAATTTTCTGGGATTCACAAAAAAATAAAAACCAATCTGTACTAGAAAATAAAAATTAAGAAGAAATATACATATTATGGCTTGATGTAGTAAAGGACTTTAGGTGCTTGCTGGACTTTCATCTACACTTGCAGAATTTACTGAGCTTAGTCAGAAACTCCCCACTGCAGCTGATAATGCTTGACACCTATTCAAGGTAAATTCTCAGTCTCTGTAATTATACTTATTACGTTGTTACAGTTGTTAATGTTCTCACCTTTCAGAAGTCCTCCAAGAATTAGCAGAGTTACAGCTGATTATTAGTAAAACATTGGCTCTCCAAACATTTTTAAAAGGAGTTGGACTAAGAAATTATTTCTGCAGATTTTAGTTTTAAATCTGAGAACAAAGCAGTAGGAAACAAAACACTCTTGATCAGGGAGTGGAGTGATAGGATGAGGGGTGATGGTTTTACAATGAAAGAGGGGAGATGGAGATGAGATCTGGGGAAGAACTTCTTTGCTGTGAGGGTGGTGAGAGCCTGGCCCAGGTTGCCCAGAGAAGCTGTGGCTGCCCCATCCCTGGAGGGGTTCAAGGGCAGGTTGGAGGGGGCTTGGAGCAACCTGGTCTGGTGGGAGGTGTCCCTGCCCAGGGCAGGGGGTGGCACTGGATGATCTTTAAGGTCCCTTCCAACCCAAACCATTCTATGATTCTGTATAAAGGGGAAGTGACGCCTGGCATTCCAAATCAGATCCTGCATTTGATCAGAATAGCTTAGAAGGGCTTTTACCTTATCCTGTAGGATCAGGCATTCTATATTGGTACTTCATTGTACATTTGGATGTATAAAGTTAATGCTTAAGGACCCCGGTAGGGTCCAGCCAAACGCTCCACTTTCACCTAAAGAAGCAGAAGTTCTGTGAGCGCTCGGTGTCTTTAAAAACAAGATTGTTTTTCTTTAGGAATCCAGGTACTGACTTGGGTGCCTGACTTAATACACCCAAGGTTGGATTGTTTCATGTTTTTTTTTAGATTGACAGGTAACTGCAGATAGTTTTCCAACCCAAACCATTCTATGATTCTGTATAAAGGGGAAGTGACGCCTGGCATTCCAAATCAGATCCTGCATTTGATCAGAATAGCTTAGAAGGGCTTTTACCTTATCCTGTAGGATCAGGCATTCTATATTGGTACTTCATTGTACATTTGGATGTATAAAGTTAATGCTTAAGGACCCCGGTAGGGTCCAGCCAAACGCTCCACTTTCACCTAAAGAAGCAGAAGTTCTGTGAGCGCTCGGTGTCTTTAAAAACAAGATTGTTTTTCTTTAGGAATCCAGGTACTGACTTGGGTGCCTGACTTAATACACCCAAGGTTGGATTGTTTACTGTTACTCTTGAGATTGACAGGTAACTGCAGATAGTTTTCCTCAAGTTAGTCAGAGTCTTACCGGAATTCTTGGAGATATTAAGACAGGACCTGTGATGCTTAGGATGTGCCTGGATTATTGTTAGAATGTGGTTTGATAGTGTACTGGTGTGGTAACTTCGATGCTTTGTGTTCCAACATGGTTTAATAAACATTACACTAGATCATTTCATTGCAAAGAAATTAGCTCTTTATTGTCTTCGTCTGACTCACTTAAAGGCTCTAATTAAGGATACAGTAAACATGAAAATCTCTCCTAATGGGTTAGGCTGTTCTGGGTGTTATCTGAAGAACGTTAATGCTTCCTGTTAGGAAAGCAATAGATTAAAAAGTTTAGTTGATGAACTCAGGTGGGTTTTTATTTTTAACAATTACAAGTGTACTCAATACAAAGAGTATTTTTAATTCAGCAAATTTTAAAGATAATTTGGTTAGAATTTTATTATATTTGGGCTAGAAAAATAAATAAATGAAATACTTTGAAAGGGCAAAAAATTAAAGCACATCAGTCACAACATACTTGGATGTTTTGACTTTTCTCCCCTATTGCAAATTTGATTTCAACCTTCTAATGACTTAGAAAATTTGCAATGCTGTCAGACACCTCAATGTTCTGTTAGATTTCCTTTTTAAAAAGTGGTGTATGTTTGTTGAAACCTTGCAATACATTACTCATAGCAAAGAACTTCTGCTTTCTTAAGGGTATAAATACCTATTTGGCGACACCCAATTTGGTATCATTAGTTACGGGATTGGTTTTGTGTTACCATGAAACAACACATACTTTAACCTTATTGTCAGAAATAAATAGTAATACCTATACTCCTGCCATTGATCACAGTTGTCATTAAAACCTGTTAGCTCTCCTATCACAAGCAATATTATGACATGTTATTTATCATTGTTGAGATCAAATAACACAAAGGTGACAGAGTAACTGCTGTCATTCAGCTCTAGAAAGCAGAGAGTGCTGAATCAGAGTCCTCGCTGAACTCCCCCAGATCGTACACAACCCCGGCTTTGACATTGACTTAACTTTTATGGTCCTGATGAGCATTCAGCAGATTTTTCGATGCTGAGCAGCATGGCACTGAAGTGACCAGCTCACACTTACTAAGGCTGCAGTTGCTCTGTAAACAGCCTTAGTACTAACAGCACTACATGCAAGGCTGGTGCCACTGTACGTGATAACGGCGTCTCATCGTTCCTGGCAATGAACACAAAGCCAGATTGGGTCCAAAAGCAAAGAAAGGATTTGGGGAGATCAGCGTCAACCTTAACTCCACTTTGGCATTTCCTCCTCCTTCAAAATAGACTTGGCTTTCCAAGGAAGAGCCATGTGAAGGAGAGCGGGAGTCAAGGTTAAAGTCATCACGTCCAAGGCACTCGTGTGTTTGTGTCGGGAGAGGCATTTTCTGCTTCGGCGATGTGGATCAATAGGATCGTGAGGCAAGATTTCTGCCTAAATGTTGAAGTCACTTGGCCATGTGTCTGAATTCATTCTACAAAGTCATTCCAGGGCTTAGCAAAATCAATCCTCATCCCGTGTTGGGAGGGAAGAATAGAAATCCATCACCTTTAAATACAACACACTGTGCAAATTAACGGCTTTAGTGTGGCATGAAATCTTTGCAGATTTTGCAAAGCAAGTGCTCTGTCTTTTCCCTTATTGTTTGCCCTTCACTTGACATAGAGGAAGAGATGCATCAAGAGGATGGCAGGAGACATGTGTCACTTAAAGCATGCCATAACAATGCTTGCCCTGGAATGCTCCCTTCAATCTCTCTGAACAAGCAGGCATAATAAAGGAATAAATATACACAGGACTTCACCTAAAGTTGATAGAACCCCTTTTCCATCCTCCCCCTTGAGCAGAGCCAGCCCCAGGCACCCTCTTCCCTTCAGCCCCGAGCGGGAGCGCCACGATCATATTGCACCAGTTCACTTGTTGCACGGTGCCAGGGTGGCATCTCCCCTCAACCCACAGAAACTTCACAGCATCCCGTTTGCAGCGCAGCCCCTTCAGAGCTCTCTCCTCTCCAGGCTCTTTGCAGCCTCTTACCTGCATGTGTCCCTGGTACATTCTGCTTCGTCTGGTTCAGGTGCCCCTCCTCAGGCCGACAGGTTGGGTGTACGCTGGGGTGGGGGCACTTCTCCTGCGCGCTCGGCTAAAAGAAAGAGGGGA